AAACATTTTACAAAGAACCTCAATAATACGGAAGTCGATAATTGTGGAGTCCATTCTTAAACAGTGCAGATGGCAGTGAGGTCCATAATTATGTGGTATAAGCTAGGTTGAAGTGGTGAGTTTTCAGGCGTGATTTAAAAATGCTAGCTGTTGGTGCTTGCCTCACTAGCAGTGGTAATGCGTTCCACAGCTTCGGTGCACAGACAGAGAAAGCCCTTTCTCCACGGCTTTTTAAACGAGCATTCGGAACAGCTAGGAGGAGCTTAACTTCAGACCTGAGAGCCCGCGGCGGGTTGTAGTAATGGACAAGTTCACACAGATATGGAGGAGCTTGATGGTTCAAGGATTTGTAAGTGAGAAGCATAATTTTGAAGTTTATCCTGAACTGCACAGGCAACCAGTGGAGAGATTTCAGAATTGGAGAAATGTGTTGTCTTCTGTCAGCTCCAGTCAGCAACCTAGCTGCTGAATTCTGGACCAGCTGAAGTCTAGAAAGAGCTGCTTTACTGATGCCATATAAGCAGGAGTTAGAGTAATCCAGCCTTGAGGTGATAAAAGTGTGGACCACCCATTTCAGAAGACGGACACTCAGGATGTGCTTTAGTTTCGAGATGCGTCTTAGTTGGTAAAAACATGATTTAACTGTGTTATTGACCTGGGCATCCATCTTCAGAGCCTGGTCCATTTTTACTCCAAGGTTGGAGATTACAGAGGATACATTAGGTGAGAGATAGTTGAGGTCAGGTTGATGAGTCGCCGTGGTACTGTTAGGACTGAAAACGATCAAGTCAGTTTTGGAGTCATTGAGAAGGAGGAAGTTGTCAGCTAGCCATTGCTTGACCTCAAGGATACAATCAGACAGAACTTTCTGTCTGATTAATAATAATCAGACTTTCTGTCTGATAAATAAATAATAGATTAATTTAAGCTGCAAGAATGAGACTGAGTGAGCTGTTTACAGTAATAACAAGCAACAAGTAAGGACTCACACATCTCCAACAGGGCGGCCGCGTCAGTGATGACGTCACGATCACAAGCCTTATTAAATTATTTCTCTGATCCTTGGAGGGATGTGATGTCTTGGACATGCAGTGTGTCGTGATCAGGCCCCCACAATGTGGCTTTAAAATTGAGGCCAACCCGGAAGTAAGAAAATTGCAGTTCCACCCTCATCTGCTGGGGGCTGGTATCAGAAGGGAGCAAATTCTCATTGACTCCCATGTTAAAAATACCAACTTCACAGCAGAAATAAACATGTTTACAGCCTGGTACCAAAACATGTTTTTGGTTTAAATGATCTAGTTTACACTCATGACAACTCTGAGGGGGGTGAATTTTTTTCTCACTCTTCTGTTTAAGTGTATTAAAAGCCTAAAATTCTGTATAATTAATGAGCATCCGACCCACCTGACCGCAGAGCTAGCTCCGGGAAAAGGCCTCAGTAGAGCCTCGGTCTGGCTTGGAAACTGCTCCGGGATTTTGAGTCTCTGTGTTTGTGTATTCTTGTTTGGATATTTTTTGTGCAATTGTTGGACAAAATGTCTTGCTGTGGCATTAATTGCACTAAAAGAGCATCCAAGGAGTCTCCACTTCATTTTTTTCGGTAAGTAAAATTATATTTATGTATTTTAGGTCACTGCCGAGCTGAGCTTAGATTTTAACATGTACTGTTTAACCATGAAATTTAAATGTAATAGGGTAATACCCAGTGCATTTAACATAATGCTGCACTTTAGAAAATGGGTTGAAATATAACATGTTGGTGGAGCTGGGTTCCGACTATCGGCTTGTGGAGCTCTCGGGAGACCGATGTTTTCCACCCGTTTCTCCCCTCCCCGCAGCCCGGTCCATCTCTGTCTGATCGCGGCTCCTGTTAGCTGCGCGGGCTGACGGCTGGTTCTTCCAGCAGCTCGGTGCATCTGTCTGATCGCGGCTTCTGTTAGCTGTGCGGCTGCCGGCTTGTGGAGGTCTCGGAGACCTCTATGTTCCACCCGGTTTTACCCAGCGGTCAGCCCGGCGTATCTCTGACTCAGAAGCTCTGGTGTTGTGCACAGTTAACTCCGGTTGTAGCTAGGTTGCTACCTCCGTTAGCTTAGCTCCCACCTCCGCATTAGCTTTGGGTTAGCTTCAGGTTAGCTTGTAGCTAGTTCGACCGGGTGTCGTCAGTTGATCCCAGCCTTACAGCCCCACCCTCAGCTCATCCTCTCTTCCCTTTTTTGGAATTGTCTGGGCTTGACGGAACCTGTGACACGGTCAAAATGGCGGTGGTGGCCACCTCCCATTTGGGCTCAAAAAAGTGATATTGGAGCCTATGGAAAATAGATGTCCATAATATTAATGTCGATGGTCGCGATGTACTTCAGTGGTAGAGCACATGCTTTGCATGTATGAGGTCCTGTGTTCAATCCCCAGAATCTTTATAAAATGTAAATTCAGAGTCCAGAAGAACATTACAGTGTTGCCTGATGTTTCAACACAAGGTATGGTATTTAAAACTGTTTCTGTAAAAAAAAAAAAAAGAAAACGTAAGCTTGAAATTTGATTTCAATAAACATTTTATTGAGCAAAAAAAGTAGCGCACGCAATTCATTTGAGCACAACCATTTAACCCTTTGATGCATAATGGTCACTACAGTGGACAGGTACTCAAAATTGTTATTTATTTGTTTTTGCACAGCTGTTGAAGACTTTAATGCATTTGAGCCCCTCCATTTGGACTTCAGTAAGCCAAGCCAACATATTTTATGCTCAGAATGCACGCTGTCAACTGAGGTGGACATGTAATAAATTATTAGTAAATTATAAAATTTTACAAAAAATATTTGTTGAAATTTGTTTCATTCACACCTAAAGACGAATGAAAAAAATTGTTAAAAAAATCATGGTTGAAGATTTTATCATTCATGCATCAGAGGGTTAAGGGGAAAAGTGGATCCATTTTGAGAGGTTTTCTTTTTATGGAGACTATATCCTCTTTCTGTAGGATCCTGGTTGGACCAAAGAGGAGATAAAATTATCTTCTTCTTTTTCTTCTGATCACCGGCTGATTCTCTATATCAGTGGTTCCTAACCTGGGGGTCCCAACCCCCACAAGGGGGCGCCAAAGCCTCTCAGTGGGTCGCAGGACCTCTCCACTTTAAGAGGTTAAAACTTCATTTATTACTTGTTTATAGCCTACATTTTGCTCACATTTTTTTCATGAGTGAAAATTTTACTGATATTAAGACAGGAAATAATTAGTACAGAAAAAGTAACACACTTTTAAGAACATTTTGCTCAGCTCACTGTTTTATTTTCAAGTGTCAAAAGTTCATTAAAGATAGGACTGGTTGATTAATCACAGCGTTTACAGTAATAATCTAGAATAAACAGTAATATACACATTTAAGTACATTTTGCTCAGTGTATTTTTTATGTGTCAAACGTTTATTGAAAGGAATGATTGATTCATCAGTGTTTACAAGAAACAATGTGTTCAGAAAAGTAATACAAACTGTCAAGCACATTATGCTCTGTTTGGTTTTGTTAATGACTTTGTCCTGTACTGGAACCTACTATTACTGTTATCTATTGAATCAAAGCATATTAAAATGTGCTTGAACAATTTTATCATTTCTTAATAATGTTTGTACTAGAAGAGAGAATGGGAGGGGGTCGTCAAAAATTTTACTGGTAAAAAATGGGGTCCCTTGGGAAAAAGGTTGGGAACCACTGCTCTATATGACTAGCCAGGGGACAAAAGGACCTCCCTCTTCTTCTTATGCACAATGGGGTGTAACACACCTTCGATCCTGAGTCATGTTATTTGTTGGCGTGCTAAAGGATTTCTGACCATGGGGGGGGGGGGGGGGGGGGGGGGGGGGGGTGTATTCAGCTCAGAGTCCAATTGATTAGATTTTGAGCATTTGCAAAAACTGAGTCCTGACCCTATACTTTTCAGGAAAGCGTTAAAATAATAATAATAAAAACTAAAGAAAATCCAAGTTGTCCTTTACATTTCACTTGTTTAGGAAGTACCTTGATTAAATGTTTTAGTTTTATGAATATATTTAAAAGTAACAGGGTTGCGCATGTTTCACGTTGTTTCCTCCTTCAATATATGGATGCATTGAGTGATGTGCATCCCTGTGATGGGGAAGGTGCGCAGTGTCACAGGCTAACCTTTCTCTGCACAACACCTGGAATCACCGCGGGTGGCTCAGTGGCTGCAGGTGACTGAAAAACCGACGTTTTTCTTTCCATTAATTGTTTCTATTTGTTTAATGTATCTCTCTCTCTTGGCCTGCTCCGTGTTTTTATCTGAGTTCTGCCGCTGTGAACAGGAAGTACTAGTAACACCGTAAACACTGGCGAGGCTCTGAAGATGGCAACTGTTAATCTGAAATAGTTAGGAAATTATGGTAAAAAAAAACTTTGCTATGCTGTGTATTAAACAAGAAAAGTAGTTTGTTTTGAAGGCGGCGTATCAGATTTGTAGTGTTGACAGCCGCTTTACCTTTTCCACCACATGAAATGCGCAGTTTGCTCACATCATGAGTGTCTGTTACTAGGGTTGGGAACTGAAAACTGGTTCTTGTTGAGAACCGGTTACCATCGTTTCAATTCCTAGGAACCGTTTGCCACTTTTGCAGCTGATTCCCCTTATCAATTCCAGTCGGCACAAATGACGTCCCTGCGCCCGTTGAGTAGCTTACGGAAGCAGGAAACATGGCGTCTAAGTGGCACAAGCACTCGAAAGTTTGGTTATATTTCACAATAAAGCATGAAAACAAGGTCACTTGCAGTAATTGGTAAGGAATTGGATCAATCGACAGAATAAACAATGCCACTGATATTGATGAAAACTTATCAATTCCCACCCCTATCTGTTACACAGTCTTTATGGTCCGGTTGCAAATACCACTAAACTGATGACATTTTCACTCTCCTGAGGAGACACGTTAGCTCTGCATTAGCTGCATTAGAGCTAGGTGAAAGGGTGGGCAGTGTTCTACACTCACCTCCACAGATGCATTGTTGGAGCCGTGATTGCCCGTGCTCCTGTGTCTGATGTACTGCTTAAACTGCTGCAGGCTGTCCAGCACCGCCTGTTGCAGCAGATCACCGACCCTAGCTGCTCCTCTGATACATCCTTCAGCTGGAATAGACCTCAGTTCCTCCACGCATGAGTGCAGCCGGGCCAAATTACCGCGAACCTGCTGCAAAGCCAAAGAAACAAAGTGATCAAAGGAATAAAAGTAAAGGATAATGTGGTAAACAACAGGTGTATTTTTAAAACCTTACCACGAATGGCAACAGACACTCCTGCTGCCTGCTGACGGCGTACAGGCTGAGCAAAGGGATCCTACAGGGTCCATCCAGACTGCAGGCCAGAGACAGAACATTCTCCAGGGCATCACAAAGCACCGAGAAGGTCTCCGACCACCACGGCGGCAGCGCTTCCACAATCAGGACCCTGGCTGGTTGCCGTGGAAATGACGAGGACCAGAAAACCAGATTCCCAGAATTGTAGGAACTCATTGGCCCCTTTTTGTTGTCCATGGATGCCTGACAACAACGAATAGTCTCCGTCAAACTTTAAACAGCACATAGACAGTTCTATAAGAAACAACTGTTGGATTTTACTCATGAGTTTGGCTTTACTTGTGAGAAAATAACACCTGAGCATCATGGTGTTCAATCTTGGTGTGTAACTTCATCTCAAGTGGTCCAAACAAAAGATTAAATAAACTATTAGTTGTGTGAATGTTTACAATTCTTTTCTTGTAGTTGTGAGAAAGAAGACTGAAAAACTGAATAAAATGAACATGAAAAAGTCATGAATACTAAGGTATTATAACTATGAATGTTCTAGAATAAACCTGAGTTTAAATGTGTCATACAACCCCTTTTCATTTCACATGTGGAAAGAAAAAGTCCTTAAGTGTTACAATGAAAATAGTTATTATTTAAAGCTTTTCCGTAAGTTTGTTGTGCTGTCTTCACCAACTAAGATGGCTGCCACTACCCATGATGCACTGCACTGTGGCATGTGTGACTACAGACATATACATGGACGCCACATGGACTGGGGTCTATGCTAGGCTACAAAGATCAATACTAATCCCACGTGATCTCTTCAATAGTACACCGGTTGTTGCAACAGTAGGCTGCACAAAAACGGACATATTTGCCCACTCTGCATTGACTTAGGAGAGTGAGGAGACAAATCCAATATGGCGCCGACACTGTTACGCTCTCCAGCGTCCAGTAGGGCATCTACACATTCATGTCAATGTGTGTGACAGCTGACAAAAAACAAATAATGGAAACAACATTTACTCATAACTCAAGGCCAAATATTAACACATTTCCTGGTGTGTGTGTGTGTGTGTGTGTGTGTGTGTGTGTGTGTGTGTGTCCTAGAGTAATTTCTGGTTAATTTCATCATGCTGCCATATATTTTTATCTGCCAGACTACATTAAACATTGTTTTCTACAAACCCTAAAAAAAAACACTTATGATGAGTCATTATGGAGCCAGTTGTGCACAGCTGAACTGGCGGATTAGAAAGTTAACAGCAGTTTAGACTCATTTTTGATGTTTTATGGCTGATTTGTTTAGTTTTACACTGGTGTGTCATCATCACTTCACACATCTCATTAAAAACATAACAAACATTACCCTGACTGTGGAGTTCTCCTATTCTGACCCAAACTGGTCTAATCTACCCAATCTTTCACCTCAGCACTTTCTTCTTGCATCACCTGTTTTTGACTTTTCTCTAAAGTCCAGTGCAGTGCAGCTTCCTTTTGGCTCACAGAGTCAGATTTTCTCTCCATTACATGTGGCAAAGTTGTGTATATTATGCAATTATTATTCATACAAAAATAAAATATTAATATAGATGATTAATATGAAATTATTTTTATAATACTTAATACATTACAAATTAAATTAGGTTTAGATAAATTTGGCTAATTTGTGACACTGTGTGAGCTTCAGCTACTGCAGCTAGGCGACATTGTTCATATTTAAAAAGCTTCTAATGAGATAATACATATTTTGAGTGCAATATTAATGAACAAAAAACACGATAGACTAAATTACAAACAAAAGAAATGACTAAAAACAAAACGTTAGGTGTATGCTTTTAACTTTAATCAATCTAGCTAGTATGTTAGCGTTGGCTAACGCTAGCAACATGCTAACATTTCTTGTTTACTCACCTAACTGGAAACAGCCTGTTGTGGAGAACATCTAGCTGTAGCTGATGCAAATGTCTGTGGTAGCTGAATCTATCTGGGAAATATTTTTAACGGAAATAAAAAAAAACGTTTTTGTCACACCTACACGCCTTCCACGATAGCAAGCTAGCTGTTAGCATCTCTCTTAGCAGCTGTTATTTGTCCATTATTTGAATGAAATTGTGTTCATTGTGCAAACGTAAACTTCATGCTTATTTATTACAGACATGTGAGACATTATTAAACTTACCTTTTAGTTTAGAGGAGTTTTGTTCCTGAGATATTCTTGTTACAGCAGCTGCTATTCTAGCCAAACCAAACCAGATTAAATAGGATCAAGTCTGCAGATGAGATTTTTATAAACCAAGAAACATGCAGCTTCCAGTCTGAATGAATTATTTACAAAAATAAAATAAAAAAAACAACCAAATATAATAGGATCAAAGAATTATTTGAACCATCACATTATTTTTAATTGTATATAAGTGTGACAGCACTCTTTTGTTTGATTTAATCATAATTTTTGTGTTCAAAACATTAGTTTCCAGAGGCAGCCACACTGAATTCAATGGATTCCTATTGATAATAATGAGTTGTAGATCTCTAAAGATGTTTTGAGAGTTTCAGTAAAACCCATCCAGTAGCTCATGACATGTTTTGTCTCTCAGTAGTGGACATTCATAAATACAAGTGATGTTCCCTGAGAAACTGTGTGGTACTTGTTCCTTTGAAATACGATGCAGGCCATTCTAACATATGTATTTTCGTCAGACTCTATTACCTGCATTAGAAAATAAATGGGGAGGTGGTCTGGTCAAAAGTGATAACACATCAAAGTAACAATTTTTACCCAAGAAATGAGAGTGTATGATGACAGCGGAAGAGTTGCATTGCTGTTAACCAATCAAAAACAATACATTTACATATCATGAACAATAATAAGCAAGACTTATAATCCTGTCGTTCTCTGCCCCCCACTCCCTGAACTACCCCAACCTCACCTTACCCCTACCTCAGTCCACCCCTAAAACCAGAACACAAGATTTTTTTGGCAAATGTATTGCAAAAAATATAAATAAAAAATAATACAAAAAAATTCCTTCAAACAATAAATACATTGCTCTGAGTATAATTTATTAAAATTTTCCTGTGTATAAACCAACAATTCAACATACCATTAATATCTTTCCATGCAAATCAAATCTGATACAGTTTTAAAGTGACAATATGTAGTTTTTACCATTAATCTCTGGAAATATCAATTGAAAAGTTGTAAATGAATCAAAAGATACCCAATTGTTGAAAAATATTGGTGGTTTCATAACATTTAACCATAAAATCAGGTCTAAAATACATGGGAGCAGGTCTAAGTCTCTGGGCAACGCCGTATTGGATGCCATGTTTCCTTCTACGGAAGCCCGTGAGGACAGATATATTTATAACAAATGGGTCAAATTTTTTCAGCATTAATGAACATTGTTCTTTTACACAATTACTTCTTTACTCGTTGCCAGTGATGAAAGGGAATCTGATGTTCTTGTTATTTTGCTGGAAGTTGCACTCCCAGGGATTTTTTACCCTAATGGCCATCTGTTGATAAGGTCTTACCTGAACACATAAATAATGCTTACTTGCAATGATTTTGGTATCTAATGCCCCCATCACCAGGGAAAATACACACTGTCACTTTAAGAGTTGAAAAACAAGCTTTTTGCATTTTTAGTAAACCAGAAAGAGCATTTCCATCAATTCACTAAAGAAATCCAACATAAAAATCTTTTCTATCATGAACTGCCCTGCATCCAGATGTTTTTTCTTTTATTTTCTGAAGATAAAAAATCAACATGAGTCAGAGTAAAGGGACAGGCTGTAAAAAGGAAATGTGTCCCTGGTGGTTGGTCAGCTTGATTGAAATGCTTTCCCATCATTGGACCTGTAGAAAAAGGCACCTTTCAGTCTACTTCCATGCAATCAACATATTCTGGGAATCAGGGCAAAGCATCAGGTGAAACAAAATGCATCCTGCTTTTTTTCTTCATAAATGTGCTAAACATCTACATTTTGCACACTTCTACACTCAAATAAATCCTTACTAACACATCATGTAAACTGCATTTTGCCTCGTCAGGATATAGATAACTATCATGAAATTTGGAAAATAAACATCTGTTCTTTGGGAGATAAGTTGAGATGTGCACATTTTGTCAGTGATAGGATTGTACCTTCTCTGCCAAGTCTCTGCATCTGGTTTAACCGTTTCCTGATGATTCGTTACTCGTTGCTGCTGATTTGAAATGATGTTCTGTGAATGTGTGCATTGTGCTAGCTTTTGGAACCCACTTGCTGCTCAGCTTAAGTCCTCATCATGTTCTTACACTCCTTCCAGCTCTCCTTTTCACCACCTACCTGTGTGCTCTAATGTTATAGTTCACATTTAATCCAGGCAGGGTGCATGGGGTCCTATGTGTAGCTCCTCACTGAGGCAAATGTGGAGCACTCAGTGTGCAACTCAAGGCCTCTGTAAAGGGATTATGTGTTCTGATATGATTGGAGTGTAATCATTCTTACGCTCCTCCAAACTCACACATAATAAAATCTACTCATGGATGCACTTTCTAATTTTGTTGGGACAAACACACTCGATGTTCAATAGGAGCTTTACATAAGTGAACTAATCTGCTGCTCCTTTTTGATTGATTTGGTGGGGGTTGGTGGAAACTTTGCACAGTGGTTTCTGTGACTTTTGAGAATGGTGCCGTCTATCACTGCCTCAATGCCACTCTCTCGGTCTGCCAGGCGATACCTCTTTCAGAAGTGTTTTTTTCAAACAGGACGTAAGTCTCCACCCATGCCTAGACTCCCACTTTTAGTTTGCTGTTCATACCAAGTTGCTGGACTCATCCTGGATCACACTGGTCCATCTCACAGAGCTCAAGGAGAACATTAGTTAGAGTGAGGATTGGAAGTTTTAAAAGATAATCTATCCTGGAACTCCTATGAGCAAAACTGTGAGAAAAAGATTCTGTCTAAATAGTCATAAAGTTGTTGTGCATATCGGCTTGTTTGACCGTAAATAGCAAAACTGCTCTAGGTGTCATGACTTAAACTAAAAAGCCCTAACTAACTATACGGGATATTAAGTTATTTTTTAATGGTATTTGTTTTGAAATAGAAGTGCAAATAAAGACACATTGTAAGCAGATGAGCTCTTTAGGTTGTAGTGTAGGCTTTAGTTTCAGGGTAATAGGTGTGACTTGGTGTGTATTGTGAGCTGGAAGATTAGTTTTTCTGGCGTCAGCGCTAATCTTGGCGAGAAAAGGAAATCTTTGAAATGCTCTTAGAACCTGTTTGTACTGAACATAAAGCTAAAACTGTGTATTGTGGGATTACACTGAGCTTTAAAATTACTCGTGAGGCCCAACTTGATTATTGGGGTGAATTCATACACAAATTTATCCAAATTTGAGAGTTTAGGAGGAGAAAAAATAATTTATAGCAAGATATAAGAAACAGTGGACAAAGTTCTCTATGGCACCAAAGTATCAAATAAAGCACAAAACTGATAGATATAAACCAGAAACTATTCTATCATTTTTTTATTTAATTAAGCGTTTGGGATTTGTTTGAAGGACAGTCACTTGATTGTAAATGGTCAATGGCCTGTATTTGTAGCGCCTTCTTAGGGTTCGGCAACCCCTCAAGGTGCTTCACAAATCAATCAGTCATCCACCCATTCACACACTGGGGACGATGAGCTACAGAGTAGCCACGGTAAGTTCAAAAACACTTTAAATGTACTCTGAGTAATTTGTTTTTCATCAGGAGGTTCATGTTGGAAAGTTTTATAGCTACAGGCAGCGTTGTGCCCTCCCTATCTTGACAATGCTCTGGTCTATGTCATAATTGATGACCCGAGCCCTACAACCCACAAAACATCTGGGTCAGATTCAACATCCACTAAAACGTTAAAAGCCATGGGGTCTCATTTATCAAACATTGTGTAGAATCCTTACTAAAACCGTACTTAAGCTCAGCAAAAAAAATGTACTTATGCCAAGTAGGTTTGTGATCTATAAAACATGGAGTACGCACAGCTGCACGCAATCTCCGCTTCATAAATCGGAGACTAACGAGAATGTTTCTCAGCTGCTTTTTAGTCACATCCCGCCCTCACCACGCCCACTTACTGCCACAAATAGTCAATGCAAAGGGCCTTGTGGATCTCATGCATATACATCAGCCGGCTGTTCCAGCGCTCCGCCAATGATGATGGCGACCGTAGATCAAGGCAGATCAAGAAAGCGCAATTTCACAGAAGCAGAAATTGAGGTACCTGTGGGTGAGGTGGAGAAATGAAAGGAAGTGCTTTTGCGAAACAAATAAGAGAAAATCCACGGAGTGGCACAGCGTTGCTGAAGCCGTCAATGTTGTGAATTCTTCAGAGAGATCAGTGGCGGATATTAAAAAAATATGGTCCAATCGGGATTCGATCCTCAGACTCCCAGGTAAAAGTCACACGCACTAATCAGTCAGCCAAACAGAGAACTTCCCTGTCCAAGTAGCCAGGGTGCATCATTAATCGAGTCACAGTGATAGGACACTGTCGCAGACGCATGACATTCTGTCTCAATCTGTCCCCCTGCTGATTTCTGCATTCCGTATTCTGTCTTCAGGCTGTGAGTGTGTGTGTGCGCGCATGTGTGTGTGAGTGTGCGCGTGAGTGTGTGTATGTGTGCATGTGTGTGTGTGGGGGGGGTCTTGTTCTGTGTGAAAACTAAAACTACAAGTGATAATGCTGCAGGATTTCATAATTTTATCCTTCTCAGCAGCAGCACTGCAGATGATCTCCATGTCCAAAATGCGCGTAAGCAAGGTCCTTAGTCAACTTAAAGTTGCGCACATTTTTCCAAGTAGTGCTCGCTGCAGAACCACAAAGGCGGAGCTGCACCAGAGTCTGCCCCGCCCATTCCATCAGAGTCAGTCCAATTCCTTCCAGTTGTCAGACCTGATAGCATTCTGGAACCAAAGAGGGTGTTATAGCTAATATCATCTAAAATGCAAGATTGAGGACGGAGATGAGAAGTTAATTGAAAAGTTTTTGTGAAGGTTCCATATAATTAAAAATCTAACTTTTGGAACTTTTTACCGTGTTATATTGTCATTTCCTCATAAGAAATACGCCAAAGCCATTTTTGGCCTCATGCACACATTTTCCTCCCATCTCAGCTTCAATTTGGTGTCCTCCCCCTGAAGCGGGTCTGGTCTTGGTTCTCAAATCTGGATACTCAGTGAATTTTCTGACAAATTATTTCTGAAATGACTTCCACTGTGACACCGCCGGAAAAACCATACATCCCATCTACAAAGACACACTGGATGGCACAATTACATGTGACACCACTTGCCTGTTACCAGATGTAATGGTGAAGTGGTTGTGGAGTCAGATTAACATGCTGTTTTGCCCAGGTTCGCCTCCTAGGAGCAGCATTGACTTTTTTCTTCCTCTCTAGCTACACTTGCCAGTACTATGTTTACAACCATTTATTGGTATACCGTTTAAAATATAATGACTAATGTGCTTGTTTTTATATTTATTTGTTTATTTAGCCAGTGTGAGTCCATTTGTAAGCAGAGTTTCAACTAAAATGCTGTTTAGGAACGATCAAATTCAAAGAACTTTTAGAGACATAAATATTTTGCAGAAAATAAACATTACAACTAAAATATAAACAACTTAAACGTTTCAGCTGGCTAAATAGATCAAATACCCCTGATTGCAGTACGCAGATCGGGGCAGGGCGCAACATGGGCGGAG